ATCAATCATCAATCATTAGTCATCAATCATTAATCATAAATTAGCAATCAACCACCATCAATCATTAGTCATTAATCATCAATCATCAGTTAGCAATCAGCCATCATCGACCATCAATCATCATCTCAATCAATCATCAATCATAAATAAGCAATCAGCCATCATCAATCATTACTCATTAATCATCAATCATCAGTTAGCAATCAGTCATCAATCAGCAATCATCAATCATAATTGACTCCAAGCTATTTACCTATTAGTGAAATTAACCTAAAAGCCCTGCTTCAAGGTAACGAAAAATAGCCAAAAGTCGATTTGAAACATGCTGCCAGCACTCGAATGTTGGTCATAACTGCGAAAAATGTGGCTCAAGCAACGGGATGTGAGCAGCGAGTGCTAACAAAAAAAAAACAACGAACCGAGTTGGCAGCTTCATCAAGTGGCTGGCGGAGGCTGTTAGCCAGGCGTGGCATGGCGTGTGCCTGTGGACATTTTCGCACTCGCATAACTTTGACAGCATTTTTGCAGCATTACAATTAACTGCCTAGTCGAGGGGCGGCGTGTGGGCGTGGCCGCAGCGACTGCTAGTGAACTGCATTGCTTGGATTAAAAAACAAAAACAACCAAAGTCGGAGTCTTGCTGGGGCGCCTACAAGCTGGCAAAATTCATATGCAAGTGGGCGTGGCAAACACAGTGAGTGAGTGAGTGTGTGTGTGTGTGTGTGTGTGTGTGTGTGTGTGTGTGTACAAAATTTGTTCCATTTTACGCTTTCTACACAAAAACAATAAATCGCTCACAGCGTCACGTCAACTTTCCTATTGCAACGGACAAGGGCGCGGATCAAGAGGATGGAAAAGAAAGTAGAGAAGGGGTAGCCAGAGAAAGAGAGCGAGAGAAGAGAAAGAGAAAGAGAAGGACTGCGAGCCAATGGGGAGCAGAGCTCACGGATGCAGCAATTGAGGCTGAAGCCATTTTAACTGCCACTTGAATGCTAAAAACAATGAGCACAGCAACTAAATGCACACACACAAGCACACCCACACCCACACACACACACGTGGAAACAGAAACTGTAAATTGTAATTTAAAAACTTTTAGTGGCTGCCCTTGCAATAAATGCGCCACGTAAATCAGTCCATGATGTGCATGATAAAAGGTAAGAGCCTTAGGTTACGGGCTTTGCCCGCAAACACTCGCACACACACACACACACACGCCCACACATGCCGTCTTCCCACACGCACACACACTGCCCTTCTGGTTGCCATGTTACCAAACAAATTGGTGTTGACTATCTGCGCCACAAATATTTTGTTTTCTAATTGCCAAAGCCAGGCAGAGCCACTCTCACTCCCGCACTCTCTCCCTCTCTCTCTCACACTCTGTCACCTCTCATTTTATCTCTGGCTTGCTGAAACAAATGTTGTGTGTTTTAAGCACAACAAGATTTGGGTCAGTTCTCTTTTTGACAATCCTGACGATCGATCCTGAGTTGCTTTTCCTTTCAAACTTAAACGAAATTCTTCAGCTTCATTCAAATAGTTGGCAAAGCTTTGGCTCTTCATTCAGACTTCATATTTCATCGGCAAGTGGCGAATTTAAATTGAAAAACTCTGTGAACTGTTTGCTAGTCATTATTGGCTGCAATTTGAAAGTTGAATAGCAATCTCCACTAGCCTTACTCAAGCAACACCCTGTAAGCCACATAGATGTATGCTTAAAGTCGTCAAGCTTCGCTTAATGTCTTTGCCGATCAAAAAACACGACACAAATCAACAATTTTTTTCTTTCTGTTTCTGCTTGTGCCATGTCACAGATTTTTTAGCCTAGGCTGGGTAGCAGATGTTATCCTCGTTGTTGTTGTTGTTGTTGCTTACTACACCTTTAGCACACACGCACGCACACTCAGACGGGAATATACGTATGTTAAGCAAAAGTGAAGAAACGTGATTGAAATTTTATCTTTGGTAAAAAATCGAAGAAATATGTATGTGAATTGGGCTTTGGCTGCGGCAGCTGCCCCATCTAACACACACACACACACGCGCATGCAAGGCTGCCTCTGTGTGTGTGTGTGTGTGTGTTTGACTTTTAAATTCCTCAACGTTGGCGTTAACCGTCGCCGTGGCTCTGTGTTATTTGCATTGAAATGTTGAGTAATTGGAAAACCAATCTGAAGCATCTGCACTTCATGTTTTGCATACCTGACTGACAGACGCCAAACGACGCGACGCTTCACATTCGCTTTTCCCTTGCCTCTTCTTTTTTTTATGCTCGTATGTTTTTTAGCTGAAAATCAAGAACAAATACAGCACACACACACACACCGCATACCACACATCACACACAGGCACCGCGACAGGTTGATTTTGCTTCTGGCATGGCAGTTGTTAAAAATAAATTGTTTTTAAATAGCTCTCACAACGGTGCAAACGCTCCCGGGGCTCAAAGTTCTATGTGTGTGTGTGTGTGTGAGTTTACCCTTCTCTCCATCATGCAGCTAGTCGAACTGTAAAAAACAGTAAAAAAGCCTCTGCACTAGAGTTGAGCATGGTCGGCTCTAAAATATCCCGCACCTTTTGGCTTCCAATTATTCAATTAAATTCTAATCAGAATTCACTCGGTTTGGGCAATTAAATTTCCCTAGCTACAGGGAAATTGTGCTAAAGCTCGTCTAAAATTCTGTAATCATTAAACTTTTGTTTTTGTCATAGCTCAACTGCTGCTCACTTCTTTGGCTTTGCCCCAGCTACCCTTAAGCCGGCTTACTCGTTTTACAGGGTATATTAGCAACAACGAGAACAACAGCCAAACGCCTGGCAAACTCCGACAAAAGCTAACAATGAGCGTTGGCTCTTCCGTTGGCGCTTCCTGGTTCCTGAACTTATTTGTTTTCAATTTTATTATGTTTTTTCTTCAATTCTTCGTTTCTTTTTTTTTTTACTTATTTCACTCTTTAGTCTATGTTTTTGTTTCGTTCGCTCTGCAGCTCCGCTGAGTGAAGCTCTTGTTTTTATAACCATTTTGTAGAAATTACTTCGAATAATTTTGCATTCGTTCACAATTGTCTTACTGCGTGCGAGCCAAGCCCCAATCTCTATCGAGGTGTCACAGCTTGCCACGCAAATTGTCCCAATATGCTCGAGCTGCTGGCAATTGAAGCCAGCTTCGTGCTGAGCTGAGTGTTGCTTGCATGAAGAATGGATTCCAAAGCAGTTGATGTAAAAAAAATGTGAAATTCAAATCAAAGCTTAATTGGGAACGAAGCGTTTGAGCTGGGCATACTAATTCACTGTAACGATTTAGTTAAATTAATTAAATCTGATAAATTAGTTAGTTAATTTCACAAGATAGTTTCATTTGATATATCGCATATTGTTTACGGTATATCGTATACCGTATATCATTAAGTGTATATCGTACATCGTATATATATAATCATTAGACTAACATACTAGCCCTTAACTAACTAGTAAGAAAGCCGTAGGCGGGATGCCCCTGACTAGGAGATACCCTGAACACTGTCCTATCAGCCGTTTTAAATATTTTCCGTGTCTTATATTGAGCATTAAAAAATATATATGTATAAATATATATAGTATATATATATATATATATAGTAAAAATAAATATAAATAAATATATTGTAATGCATACATAGATTACTTTGCAGAAAAACGTAGCATAAATGTTATTGTTATTTAATATATTAAATATAAAATGTATTAAATATATTTTTATATATAACACAGTTATTAAATATTTTTAAATATACATATGTAAATATTTAATATATGTATATGTTATACAAATACGTTATACAAATGAAACTGAAGAGAAGAGATTCTCTGCCTATGACAAAAATGCTATTAAATATTATTTATTTTATTAAATATATAGTAATAATTAGTATGGACATTAACAATTTTAATCGTAACTAAATTAGCATTACGAAAATGATCATGAAAAAAATCAGATTGCTAATGATCATTATCGTTAATGATTGTTCCCAGTAATAATCGTGAACATAAATGATCATTACTCCGAATGCTAATTAGTAATTATTAATAATAATTAAGAAATAGCTAAAATACTAAAAACTATATTTTGAACATTTGACTATTAAATATTTATTTAACAAGAAAAACTTAAATATATATTTAAATATTTATTTAACAAAAAAAAACTTAAATATATATTTAAATATTTATTTAACAAAAAAAAAACTTAAATATATATTTAAATATTTATTTAACAAGAAAAACTTAAATATATATTTAAATATTTATTTAACAAGAAAAACTTAAATATATATTTAAATATTTATTTAACAAAAAAAAAACTTAAATATATATTTAAATATTTATTTAACAAGAAAAACTTAAATATATATTTAAATATTTATTTAACAAAAAAAACTTAAAATATATTTATTTCAACATATATTGTATATGTACATATATATATATAATAAATACAAATTATTTAAACTTAAACAATTAAAAAAAAAAACTTAAAATTTATTCACTATTTGCACTGAACCACACTGCGACTGACCTAGTCCAGGTCTTGAACTTGACTGATCGTCCACAGCCGCTGCTGCGCCTTTTATACCTAAAAGTCACTCAAAAAGCAACGCCAGCAGAGCTCTTGAGCGCTTTGTGAGTGAGAATTCACACTCAATTTTAATGATGTTTGAAGCAGAAGGAAAGGCGAACAGACAGAGCGAGCGAGCTAAATACGCACAACTTATCAGTTTGAGCGGAAATACATATGATATACATACACATAGTCAAGTCTTCAGCTCAGATAGATGCTGAGATCGACATTCGGACAGATGGACAGACGGACGAACGGACAGGGCTCAATCGACTCGACTTGTCCTGATCAAGAATATATACATATACTTTAGGAGTCTACCACGCCTTCTTCTGCCTGTTATATTTTAAGAAAAGCATTTCCCATTTTCAATGGGTTCAGGCTATAAAACCCGACTTAGTTGTACTTCACTTGCATTTTATTGTCCACTCGAATTTCGTTAATTTTTTCAGGCCAAACACGTACGAAATGAGAAATATTTGTAGTTGCAGGATCCTCTACCGTGAGATAATGGCTTGGAATGAACATGAGTGTGAACACGTTCTGTGAGTGTGTTAACATAGACTCTATCGGGTAGTATTACGATTCTTCTGTTTCACAGAAGATCGGCCATTCAAAGGTGCGTTATCTTGACTACTGTTAATCGTCCTCGACTGTGGAGTTTTGGTTTCCGCTTTTTGACTTGTTGGACTTTCGGTTGGCATGGAACGCGTTGACTGAGGCGTTAACGGCCTGGTGTTTTTTGGCCTAGAGTTGACAATCTCATCGAAGTTTGCATAGTTTGGCAATGAGTCGAAGCCATTGTATGAAACATTGTTTCCTTGACTGTTATACTCGGTCTTCCTTCTATAATTCGATTGACCACGAGATGGACTTTTGCCAGTAGCCTCAGACTGCAGCTTCGGGTGAGTTAGGTCCTGAAAGCTCACTTTCGGCGTCAGCTTGGGAGATGGCGTTTCACTTGTCACATTGTTTTCAATGGATTGCCCATTGACCTCATTATTCGTAATTTTCAGCTCAGTTTTCGGCTCGTTTATTTCGATCTGCCTGACTTTCAGTTCCGAATTCTTGGTGTCCCTAATCTCTGCGCACACATCACTGCAAAACATTTCACATGGCTCACTTACATCCATAATATTTGAATCTACAGGCACATAAGACGATTGCATTCCCGATGGCTCGCTCTCGTCCGCCAAACGTTGGATTTCGTCCTTCAATTGATCAGATCCTGTTTGACTATACATCGTGCTACTGGCCAATCCGGATGGCTCCGTAACGTCCGCAATGTTCTCGCAGCTCATAGAGTAGCTGGTCAAGCAGGTGGTCTGCTTGGTGTTGGAACGAGTTGTGGTATTCGCATAGGATGGCGCGCTGACATTTCGAAGCATTTCATTTTTAAAAAAATCATCGCTTGCTGCATTTGAGCACAAGAATGTCGATTCCATTCCCGATGGTTCGCTCACGTCCGCCAAACGTTGGATTTCTTCCTTTATTCGATCCGATAACTTTTGACCATACATCGCGCTATTGGCCAACCCGGAAGGCTCTGTGACATTCTCAGTGTTCTCACAGCTCATGCAGCATCTTGTCAATCGACTCGTCTGACGGGACTTTGAACGATTTGAGCCACTCATGTAGGAAGGGGCGGTTACATTTCCCAGCATTTCACATGGATACGACACATCCCGAGACCGGCCCGAACAGAGCTCTGGCCCGCGACTGTCCATTGAAGGCGCTGATATGTCATCGATATATTGTTGACCGGCTAAGCACGGAAAACTGCGGACCTGGCGAGCCATTAGTTGAGAGTCACTCAGGGCATTCGTGCTGTTCTTCGGCATCTGATATAGACTCTTGAAGCCCCGGCTGCTCAGCTCAAAGATGGGACTACTCTCGTCAGCCAAGGCGTCGTTTAGATACGATGGCTCAGAGCGTGGCCGACGCAATTGGAGTGGTTCACTGCAGGAAGAGGTAAAGGCCGGCGGACTTATGTTCCATAACTCTTGAGTAAAGGCACTGCGACCAAAGGAGGGCGGACTCACATTACTCAAATAGTCGCTAACCATTGGCATCGAATTGTTGATAGTCGAAAAGCCGTTGAACGATGGCATGGCTACATTTTGAATGCATTCACTATGCCTGCGGCCAGAGGAGCTATTGAACCGTTGAGCTCTGGGACTGGGGCCCTGCGATTGACTTCGTCCAATGCGTTTGGCACTCACTGACGGAAATCCACTGCAGTTGTACGAAGGTGCCGATATGTCGAAGATATTTTGCGATGGCATTGTCGGACTGCGAGCTTGCGAAGCCCCCAATGCGCCGAGGGAGCGAATGCTAACATTCTCCAAACATTCATTGGTCACTGAGTTGCCGGGCATCCAACGTTGTTGTCGACTCGATTTTCGTGCTCCCGATACGTCGCCGAATGAAGGCATGCTAACGTCTTGCAGCTCATCAGTGCGATTCGCTCGATTGGGAGGAGACCTATGCATGCATTGAGGTGATCTGTTCCAAGTGAACGTCGGCGCGGTCACATCATTCAAGCATTCCGAGGTCATAGATTGCTGTCGGCGCGATGAGCTCGGTACTTCCTCAAATGACGGCATACTTATGTCCTGCAAGCGTTCATTGTCCGTTGCCATGCCACGTCCACTGTTTGCATATGATTTAGCTGATATATCGCAGATATTTTGAGGCTGCAACGAACGCTGTTGTTGTTGCTGCTGTTGCTGCTGCACTTGCTGCAGCATTTGCCGATGCTGGCCGGAACTATGCGGCCGGCATGCACTCGATATTCCACCAAACGATGGCATGCTGACATCCATGATGTACTCATCGTTCACGTCTCCCGTACTCGATCTGCAGGCATTCGAAGGTATTTGCTGATATCGCGGTGAGCGGCCGCACGATATGCTCCGTCCAAAGGAGGGTGCACTGATGTCGTTCAAGCATTCGGAAGTGTAAGGCCTTGAGTAACAAGACGGCATAGATATATCATTCAAAAACTCATCTGTAATGCCTCCCATTCCGTTGCCTTCCAACGTTTGGCAACTTGCATCACATATGTTCTGAGAAGCCATCGCCTGCTGCTGGCGTCTACTGCTCTCGAAGGACGATATATCACAGATATTCTGAGAGTTCATCGCTTGCTGTTTTCGTAGCGGAGTTTGCCCTCTTAAAGCGAGAGAGCTCGGATATAATGGCATGCTTATATTATCTAGGCATTCAGACGTACTATCCATTGGTGCACATCTATTGGACGAGGATGCTGAGCCCTTAGTCTTCGTTAATAACGTATGCTGCTGACGCACTGGGGTTTGTGCTGTTGAGGCACCTGAGACTCCACCAAAGGACGGCATGCTAACACCATCGATAAACTCCGAAGTCGTCGTAGTCGTAGTTGTCCCCTGAAACGTTTTTCCGCTGTCATTTTGCGTTTTCCTTTGCTGACAATGCGGCGATCGGGTACGCATCATGCTTTGTCCAAACGAAGGTGCACTAACATTGTCCAGACATTCGGAGGGTAACGTCGGTTGTCTTCTTGATGAAGACGATACCCCTGCACCTGATGGCATACTTGTATCCTCCGAGCATTCAATACTGAGCGCTCTGCGTCTACCCTTGTCAGAAGATGGAGCTGAGATATCGTCGATTTTCTGAGAATTATGCTGCCGTGTTAGCGTTCTGGCTCTTGAAGCTCCCGAGACGCCACCAAACGACGGCATACTTATTTCGTCTAAAAACTGGCTATAAGAGATGTCCTTACGCGAGTTGCCGTAGGACGGCATCGTTACATTCTCCAAGCATTCGTTATTCAATGTTCCGGGTCCACTGCTGCCAAAGGACGGAGCTGATATATCACCGATATTCAGGGACGGCATCGCTTGCTGCTGCCTTCCACTGCTATTCATGGACGGTGCAGATATATCACAGATATTCTGAGAAGCCATCGACTGCTGCTGCTGCTGCTGTTGCCGGGTTGGCGTTCTGGCTCTTGAAGCTCCCGAGACGCCACCAAACGACGGCATACTTATTTCCTCTAAAAACTGGCTATAAGAGATGTCCTTACGCGAGTTGCCGTGGGACGGCATCGTTACATTCTCCAAGCATTCGTTATTCAATGTTCCGGGTCCACTGCTGCCAAAGGACGGAGCTGATATATCACCGATATTCAGGGACGGCATCGCTTGCTGCTGCCTTCCACTGCTATTAATGGACGGTGCAGATATATCACAGATATTCTGAGAGGCCATCGACTGCTGCTGCTGCTGCCGCGTTGGAGATCTGACTCTTGAAGCTCCCGAGACGCCGCCAAACGACGGCATACTTATTTCCTCCAGGAACTGTTTATAAGAGACCTCTCTACCCGTGTTTCTAAATGAGGGCTGGGTGACCTCGTCCAAGCATTCATTGTTCATTTGTCCTACTCGGCTGCTTTCATATATTGGAGCTGAGATATTACTGATATGTTGACGCTGTTGTCGCGACGAAGTTTTTCCTCTCGACGAGCCGGAGACTCCAGCAAAGGAAGGCCTGCTGACATCTGCCAAGAACTCGTTAGTCATCGGTCCCCGTGTAGAGTTCTCGAAAGATGGCATAGTTACTTGATCTAAATATTCTTGATAGCTTTCAAAACTCGGTGTCATCGATTGCGTGGACGTCGAATACTGTTGACGTGTAGGAGTTCGTGGAAAGGATGCCATCGCGGCTTCCTCCAGGCACTCATTTGTCACTTTCCCCCGTCCACTGTGGCCATAAGTCGGCACTGAAGTGTTGCCAATAGTCTGTGAAGGTATCGATCGGTGTTGACGAGACAGAGATCTTTCCGATACACCAGCATAGGAGGGCATGCTAACATCAGCCAGATACGAATTAGTCGAAGCTTCCATACTTCCATATAATGGCATTGATATGTTCTCCAAGCACTCATCAGCACTTGGGCTCTGTCCATAGGATACGTAAGATGGAGCTAATATGTCAACGATGGGCTGCGATTGCATTGAACGATGCTGTACGGATCGAGATGCAGTGCTCGATGGTCCATCGAAGAACGGCATGCTGATGTCCTCCAGTGCTGTAGAGCTCAAATTGCTCGGTGCTAGCACCGACCTTGGGTGGCTACGATAGATTCGACTGCGGGTAGTACTTGACCCAAAGGACGGAGCACTAACATCGTTCAAGCACTCACTCGTCATGAAGCCTGCTTGTCTACCCGTTGGTCCGGACATGTCCAAGGAAGGCATTGTTATATCATCTAAGCGGTCCTGACACATCTGGGTAAATTGCCGCCGCGAGGCACCGGAAGATCCCAGAATACTTGGCATTGTTACATTGTTCAAACATTCGTTGGTATATTGCTGCGTTGACTGCCGACTGGAGTCGCCGTTCGCGCCAGAAATGCCGCTCGGCATTGATATATCCTCAAGATTGCTGCCAGCGAATGTGGGTGCTGAAATCTCGCATATCTCTTGTCTGACAGAGCTGCGGCCAACGGAGCTACTCGGATAGGAGGGAGCACCTATATTTTCAAAGCAAACGCTTTGATTTCGCATGCGTCTCTCCATTGAGTCCGCTAGCGCAGGTGCACTGATGTCCGTCAGCCGCTCGCTTGGCAGAGAGCCCTGAAGTCTACGAGTATTTAGTGCTGGCATGGTATTGTCATAGAACAGCGGCATTGAGATATCGGCTATATTTTCGCTCTGATCTGGCATATTGGAAAGATGAAGCTGACGTCCGGGGGTAGGAGGCTGTTCCGAACAGGCATGAGGTGTGCTTTCCAAAAGAGCCACTTGATCTTGCGGACTGTTAGACACTCTGCTCGTCTCCTCAATGCAGCTTGTCACATTTCCGGATTTATCCCGGTGCGTCGTAACCGTGCGAACCGTAGTTAGAACACTATTTTTCTGTATGTCAAAGGATTTCGATTTAAAGTGAACGTCGGACAGTAAATTGCGAAAATCTCTAGTTGGCAATGACCGACTTGAAGATACCCGCCAAGAGCTGATCTTTCAAGGCTCAAATGCTAGATCGTGTAACACGGACAGCCAGACGGACGGATATGTGTGAATTGTGAGCAATTCCTCCCTCTCTATCTATCTCTATCTCTATCTCTCTCTCTCTCTCTCTCTCTCTCTATCTCTTTCTCTCTCTCTCTCTCTCTCTGTGTCTCCATATCTGTCTCCATCTCTCTCTCCCTCTCCTTCAGCCTCTCTCTCCCTCTCCTTCCTCCCTCTCTTACTCTTTCTACCCCTCCATTTTTGCCCCCCTCTCTCTCTGTACCAAACTGTCTCCATCTCCCTCTCTCAAGTTAATATACCCTTTGTACTGTTGTTACCTTTTCTGTGCTGCATTTATCAGACATTGGATCGGGCATTGAATATCGATCTGCATCTCGCCCATCCACAGCTGGCAATAGATCAGTGCTGCAGTCGCACAGATCGATAAGATTATGCACAACTATTTGCTGTACGCTATCCGTACAGTTACTGCTATCAATTTCACTCACAGTAGCGTCGGCCGAGGCACACAGCTGTGGCGGTGTTACATTAGCTAGATACTCTCCACCCGAAGCAGACATTTGTGATGGAATGCTGATTTGGAGCGGCGGCGCCGAAACATTGGCCAAGCATTCCTCTGTTAAATTGTTCACAATGGACGTTGCAAGCTGTCGATAGGCGGGTCTACGCGGTTGGGCCTGCCGCATCGCATTCATTGCCTCAGCGTCAGTCTCATCTGTAAATCGTTTGGATTGGTCAGTTTGTTTTGCTGAATACTCTACGCAGCTCTACGGACATGTCATATTGCGAAACATGCGCGGATTACGCCATTCCTCGCTGCCCGTTAGACTGAATTCCCGGGGATCATATTGACGCGGTTGTCCGCAGTATCCGGGATGTAAATGCTCTGGCGTATTCACTAAATCATTTTTTGTCGACTGGCCGCTGGGCGTTTTGCACTGCGCATTTTGCATTGCTGCGATCCTTGTAAGGAATTTTGCTATTGAACTTTTAGCCTGAAAAAAAAAATACGAATACTCTGGCAATCGAAATTTGTGCTGAGTTAAAGTGTTTGGAAGTGCTCAAAGTTTAAACAGATACGCCTACTACAAGTCCATAGATTCTAGCCTGAATGGCTAGACCTCTCTTTGGCAGTCACGCAGCGTATTCATCGGTTCATCGGGTTCATCATTTGAGGTCGGTCAGTCAGGTTCAGTCAGAGTTTCTCTGAGAGAGTTGCTCTGATAGAGCTACTCAGTCAGCGTTACCCAGACTCAGTCAATCAGAGTGAGTCATTCAATAGGAATATGTCGGACTCAATCACAGTCAATCACTTAGCTACTCCTTTGTCTGTCCTTCAGTCAGCCCAGTTAGCCAGTCATTCAGACTCTCAGACTCAGTCGAGGTCATTCAGCCAGCTCTTCCTCTGTCTGTCCTTCAGTCATCCATAGTCAGTCAGTCAATCACTCTGACTTAGTCAGTCAGTCAATCACAGCCCGTAAGCAAATGAGACTCAGTCAGACTCTCAGACTAAATCTCGGTCAATCAGTCAGCTAGAGCTTTGTCTGTCCGTCAGTCATCGAAAGTCAGTCAGTCAATCACTATGAATTACTCAGTCAATCACAGCCCGTAAGCGCGAGAGCTTTGCCTGTCCGCCGATCATCCAGAGTCAATCAGTCAATCAGTTAGACTTAGGCCAGTTGGTCAGTCAGTTAGCTAGTCAAGTTAGTACGTCAATCAGTCAGTCATTTATTCAGTCAGTCAGTCACTCATGCATAACCTTTGGCCACCTCCAATCCAATTAATTGGAATATAGTTTTCTTTCCTTTCGCACTTCATTTACAGTTTTCTTAAACGTGATTGGCTTTTAGATGCCTGACTAGCATCCCGTTCTTAAGAGCTTGTCTACGTCATGTGTGCCTGTGTGTCACTACGTGTGTGTGTATGTTTTGTGGTCGGCTTGTGGGCTGGCAAGGCGTCACACGAAACCGCTTTCATTTCCGCTAAACACAATTGCATCATTAGCGATGCAATCTCCGTTACTTAACGTAACCGCAACATGCCGGAAATGAAATCCGAGGCAAGCTGGCGCGCCCAGCGTTAAGCTCGCTAAACTTTTCCAACGGTGAACGACTCGACAAGTGCGCCAAGCAAAGCGCAATGAAAAATCGCAAAGAAAAAAGATGAAAAACCAAAAGAAAATAGTACGAAAAATAAAGGTGGCGCAGTAGAAAGGAAATATGACGTCTCCGTGTGGCATAGTCAAAGAGCAACTCGACTCGACTCGAGTCGAGTCCAGAAGCCACTCGCACAAGGCTAAAAAGGAAAACAACCGGAAAGCAAACGAAATGATGCTGCTGCGCACAAATAATCGAATAATGCCATACCTGGAATCATATGCCCTCGAATAGCCGTGTGTCGCAGGTGGGGCAGTTGTGCCAGAAGTGTGGCTCCCATTGGATACAAAGACAAAGGCGGCGGTTACGCGGTCTCGCTTCATTTGGCTGGCTACCCGAGCAAATATTTGAGAAGCGAAGAGGCGCAGAGGGCTGCTCTTAAAGTATATAGTTTATTATATTATTATATAATAGCATCTCTGCACTCGTGCGACACGGCCCAATGGGCTATATTGGTTCATTCTACTAGGCATATCCAACACCTCTTGCCTACCTCAATGCAGTTAAGCCTTCGAGCTACCCTCGCTACATGCACTTAATATGGTGTCAAATGAAATGTTTTCGCTTTAGCTATGAAGGTGCAGGCAATCAACTAGATATTTGCATTTACATACGCAGCAGCAGGCTGCAGATCTACAGACTAAGCGGACCACGCCCACTTCCCTAAAGCCGAAGGTCTTTAGCCGTATGGAGATGAAGCCATCTAGCTAGGTGCTACGTTCAGGTGACTGACATCACATGCAAGCACACGTCTCCCCTAGGTCGGACGAGCGGGTGGAGCGCTCCGCCGGGGCAGGGGGGCCAGCAAGGAGTTCGCACAAAAGAGTTGCCTCAAGGCCACAGACGAAGGAGGTGGATGAGCCAGGGGTGTGGGAGGGTGTCAGGGCGACAAAGTTTGGTAAACGTTTAGCTTGCTTACTTTTCAATTTGAATATGCCTCGTTCGCTGGCCTCTCTGCTTGGGCGTCGGGGCCGGTCTGGGCGGGGCTAATGGGGCATGACAGCATAATGCAATGCAATAATACAAAGAGCTTTCTTTCAAGGCTTAAGCTTCAAGGCGATTAGCAAACATGCTCAAAAAAAAAAAAAATAAACAATAAAAGAGAAAAAACTGCCACATCGAAGCGTGGGTGTGCCTAAAGAAAGATATTAATATTCAGAAATAACAAAATATTTTTAAAAATGCTATATTATTCATTGTTTTTATCTAAAACTCATTTTATATATAAATAAATATATAAAAATATAACAAATATTTGTAAGAGCATAAAAAAACGCGAGTTGATTTAAAAATGCTTCAGCTGCTTATTTTGCTCAAGTATATATTATTTATTTGCTCCCTTTGTTTAAAGATAAAAAATAATTAATTATTTTGTACATTTTAAATCACTTAAGCTGAAGCTTAACAAAAAAAAAAATTTCTCTCTAAAATATATTTTGGAAAAAGCTTTTGCCATCAGTTCGGCAATGTGAACAAGTTACAGGACATATAGGCCGGTGAGGTACTCTCCACTGTGTTTAACAATTCTAATTTTAATACATTTAAATTTTTGTCATATTTTGAGTTTTTTCATAATTAATAAAATCTTAAAATTGTATTCGAATTATTGTTGCTTGTCTTTAAAACTACAATTAATTCATAATCTAAAGTCAATTTATATTAAGTAAAATATATTTCATAGTAAATTTCAATATATTTAATTTAAATAAATATTTTCAAATTTTTGCGCTTACAATATATCAAAATTGGATTTTATTTAGTTGGTAAATTTCGATGCTGGAAATTTTACATTTGATAATGGTAAATTAAGTTGACTTTGGGACACATCGCCATCTAGCGACAGTTTCTGTAAGACTTAGCTTTTTCGAAGTGACAGCAACTGTTAACAACAGCGACTCCTGTACAGCAGCTGTAAGTAGAACACCAGAGAAAATGTTAACATAACAGATTCTTAACATTAGCTTTTAGTAGCAGCAAATGTTAAACAAAAAGTTCAATTTTAAATAGAAATCAGTTAAAATATGAAAAGTTAATTTTAAAAATAAATTCCACTGAAATGTTGCTAACATTGTCTACGTGTCTTAGCCATGGCAACAGCTAAGGCCACAGCACACCTGGTTGCCCCGGACAACGGGGCAGCCAAATCAGCTGACGGCTATGAAGGCTGGTAAACAAAACAATAGAAGACGAGTGAAAATAAACTTCCAAAATAGAGTAGAAATTATTAGAGTGATTCAATTCAGATCTGGAGGCCAAACTATGTGCTAAATGGGCCAGCTGCACTGCTTGCCACGCTGGTGCTGCTGCTGCTGCTGTTGCGAGCAGGCGTCGACGCTGCCAGCGACAGCGCGCTTTAAGCTGCTGCTGCTGGGCGTCGCGGGCAGTGGCAAAACGCAGCTGGGGCATCTGCTCAGCGGCGAGGAGCGCGACGCCAGCGATCTGGGCGCCACGAATGGAGTCCGCTGTTATCGAGTGATGGACCCGGAGTTGAGTCTGCTGCTGACTGAGGTGGGCGGCAGCGTGGATATGCAACGCATTTGGCAGCATTACTTTGCCACCTGCCATGCGCTCATCTATTGCTTCGATCTGAGTGCCAGCTACGACCAGCTGCTAGGCAGCTTTGCCCTGCTGCAGCGCTGCCTGCAGCATGCCACATTGCGTGGCAAGCCCGTGCTGCTCGTCGCCACGCGGCACAGCGATGCCGTTCAGCTGTACGATGTGGAGAATGCCTTCGATCTGGAGCAGCTGAGCCGCTCCTCCGGCTGCCCCCTGCACATCTGCCACATGGCCGACGATGAGCTGCAAATGGGCGTGGCCTGGCTGCGACGTCAGCTGCAGGAGTTGGCGCCAGCGCTGGAGCAGCGTATCAAATATGATGTTAATATGCAGGTGTGTGCTGACGATCTAACTCTCTCTATCTGTTTTCTTTCTCTCCTATCTTCTTTCTCTTCCTCTCTCTCTATCTTTCTTTATAGCTAAATCATCTATTTCTATTTATTTAATATCGGCTTTTGCTTCTGTGTGCATCTCTATCTATTATCTTACTTATTCTGCTCTCTCTTTCTCTCTCTCTCCTTCTAAGCGAGGGTATTATTTTTTTTTTGCGCTCTCTAGTTCGATTTCTCGCTCTCGCCATTCTTTTTGTTTTCTCTATTTCCTTCTCTCCTGTGTTCACTCGCTCTCTCGCTATATCTGACTTCTTTTTCATTTTTCTATCCTTTCACCTATTTATTTATTTGCAAGTTTCCGCTATGATAATTCCCTAACTCTCCCTCTCTCTGTCTCTCTTCATTTCAATTGCTATATCTGCCCTTAGCTCACTCTTTCAGCACAATCCGCTTCATTTACTTACATCTCTATGTAATCCACTGACACTTGCGCTGTCTCTCTCTCGCTCTTTCTCATTTCTAACAGTCCTGGGAACGACGCAATCGTGCTTTACTTTCCAACGGTAAATTGGACCAGCCGCAGCGCCAGCGCTTTCGACGTCCGCACAGAAAGGTAACGGTATGCGTCCGATCAACGCTTTAGCGCTCTCGCTCACACTGCTCTCTCAATTACAGCTGTGGCCCCTCCAGTTGGCTGGTGACGTCACGCAGCCGCGCCCATCGACAGCGCCGGCCGCCATTTTCTCCGTGCGTGCACCATGAAAACTGCCCTCGAATGTTCAGCAAAATGTGCCAAAGATCAATTTTTTTTCTGCTTCAGAACTAATAATAAGGCAATAAGATCCATTTTTGTTCAAAATAAATAATAAATGATTGAGACTTGTGTCACAGTTCAACTAGAGCTAGTATTTAAAAATGTATCTATATATATACATATAGAATTTTAAAGGTGTTACGCCGTTAAAATTGCTGCATTTGGCATCTAACGCTGGTTAGCGGATGCTGCCTGCAGACTCTCCCACCCGGCCAACTGCCAGACGATGATGTATTGCAGCGCAGCAATAAGTAAACCACAAGAACACCTCGCACACACACACACACACTAATGCACATGCACGGCCATACACAAACAATTACAAACACTAATACAGATTGAGGCAGCGAGAAAGGGAGGGAGTCAGGGAGCCGCTGACATTGATGATTGCGGCTCGTTGTCGTCAGCGGCGGCAGCGGCGGCAGCGGCGGCTTTATTGTTGTCGTTGGTGTCTGGAGACGCTCGAACGTGTGCTCATAATAATCCCGATATATAAGCCAGCCAAAAAAAAACCCGCCGAGGCAAACACACACACACACACACACACGTACGCACACAAACATGTGTCGCCGTGTGTTGTTACGAAAAGTGTAAAATAAGCATCAATCATCGCTTATTCGAGTTGTCATCAATCACACACACGCTGCACACACACACACACACACAGGCAGAGCAAAAAGTACAACAACATGAAGCAACAAGCACCGTTATCCTTGGTGGTTAGCTCTTGTCGAGCGCCTGCCCTCGCTCGCTTAGCATTTACAAATTTGCCGCAGCCTTTAAATTTGCAACCCCTTTGCCTGGACACAACCCTCCGCTGTCCGCGCCCCCTACCCCTACACCTAGCCGTAGCTGTAGTCCTATATCTAATCAGCTTTGCGGCAGTTATTAAATCATCAGGTTGCACGATCGGGCGCCCATCCGCTGTCACATGTCTGTCAACAGTCAGCGAAGGACACGACAAAACAAAAATTGCTATATATTTATATGAGAGGGCAGTCTAAAGAGTTTGCAATTTAGGAAAAAAAAAAAAAAATATATATATATATATATATATATATATATATATATATATATATTTTTTTTTAAGTTAAAGTAATGAAATTTGTTATATTTATTTAAAAAGAATTTTTAATAACTAGAAGCGAGGGTAGCCTGAAATATTTTTTTGTCTCAGTAAAATATTTTGTATTAATTTTTGGTGTAAGTTACATTTTTTATGGTTTTTAATATTTAAATACACTTATTTAAAAAGAATTCAAATAAAATATAGTGAGGGCAGTCTGTAAAGTCTGTGAAAAAAAATATATATATATATAACACAATTTTTATATATTTGTTATTTTGTATAAAATATTTTTAATTACTATATAACGGATAAAATACTTTTATTACTAGGCTGAAGGAAAATAAACTAAATTGGATTTAATTTATATTCAAATATAATTTGTATGCATTTTGGAATGTTTAAATAAACTAATTTAAATAAAAATATTTCCATTTTCCAGCTGGCAATTTTTCAAGCTACCCTCGCATGTGCTTGCATATGTAGAGTGCGTAACCAAATATGCTTTGCCCTGGCCCTTTGCGTGCGTCAAGGCGGAAAATAAAGATTTAATCGGCATTTATGTATAATATTTTTAGGTTTTTATGATAATGCGCTCTTCTTCCTTTTCTTCTTCTTGTTGCTCTTGTTGTTAAAACTCAACGAGCGACCCTTCAAATGGCAGCGCCTGTCACTTGCGTACGCAGAAACCGTGTTCAAATCCAAAGAATGGAAAATGCGAACTTTTATATACTTGCGGCATTCGATAAGGAGAATGTGTTTTATGCCCCTCGCTGGACGCAGCCAAACGCAGGAGAAGCAGCAGGAGGGCTGAGGCTGACTGATTAACGTGTCCAAATATGCCCGAACATGAATCGCACTTGAACTCTGTGATATTCTATGCCACAATCGGAATGGGTGAAGCTAGTCAAGGGAGAATCTTTTATGGCGGAGCATTTGTAAGAGAAAGAGAAAGAGACAGAGAAAAAGAGAGAGAAAGAGCACAAGGAAGAGAAAGATAGACAGAAGGAGAGTGAGTGAAAGGGAGAGGGAGAGAGAGAGCGAGAAAGAGATAAACAGAGAGAGAGAGAGAGAGGGAGAGAGAGAGATATACAGAGAGATAGAAGGACAGAGAGAGATAGACAGATAGATATAGAGCCCAAAGCAAAAAAGGTAAAGAAAGAGGGAGACAGACAATCTTGGAGAGAGGCGAAAAAAGATAAAGAAATAGGGAATATAGGAATGAGGCACAGAAGAGGCAAAGAGAAAGCGAGAAAGATTGAATTACAATAATTATCCCTCCATCGGGGGCCAGTTGCCGTGGATCGAACCATAACAATTGACAGTCGAAATGACAACAAAAGGTGAAATGGGTTTTAATTTCAATTTGTACAGCAATCCCGTCGTATCAGAAAAGCTTAGGGTTTTCACTGTTTTTATATAATTTCGTATGCGGATCTAAAAACAAAGTGGAAAACCCGAAATGCCAACGCAACTGGACAGACAATCAAATAAAGTCACGCCGCTTTAACATTTGCGGTTGGCAGGACGACACGAGGGGCCAAGTGATGGACAGTTTTTAGCTGTGGGTAACACGATATGCACACACACAGACACACACACACACGCACACACACAGTGGCAATGCAAAAGGCTGCAGGACATGTACACGAAATTAATTTGCAACGAAGGGCATGGCACGCGCTCGCTCTCTCTCCGGTTGTGCTACTCTCTCGCTCTTAATCCAACATGATATGATGCTACAGCAAAATGCAAAATGTAGCCGGAGTCCAGCTGCTGAACCTGAACCTGAACCTGAACCTGAACCTGAATATGCCGCCACGTCCCACCACGCCACGCCCACTGACTGCAGCAAAAATCAGAAAGCGGATTAAACGTATTCGTGAGAATTCGTCAACGATTTCACACCTGTTCGACCATCGCGCCAGCGAGCGTGTGTGCGGTTGTGGGCTGTAGGCGTGGTCTGGCATAAAATGCCAATTAGAATTTCAAGTTCGCAGTCCGTTGGGCTACGCCACGCCTTTGGGCAACATCCCCGACTTTTTCGCCAACGCAAATTGTTTATCGCCTTCCGGGCGCCTTATTAACTTTACGGCTGGCCGAACTCTGACCCGTAGTCTGAGCAGGGATCTCAACTCTCTCTCCCTATCTCTCTCTCTCTCTCTCTGTGGTCTCTCCTGGTCATCGGCATTTTACGGACTTTCGATTTTCATGTGTTTCAATTCGATTTGCTTTGGTTTCGGTTTCGCCACTTCATTCCACTTGCTCTTGCTCTTGTTGTTGCTGTTGTTGTTTTCTCTCGCACCTTTCTGAAAATCATTTCCTTCCTTTGCTTCCACTTATTTTTTGGTTTCTCTGTTGCCGGCGAAACCCTTTCCCTCCGGCCGAGCGTAACGCGGAAATGCACTCAAAATATTAAATGCTTCAGTAGTTTGCAATTATTGTGCGCGCTGGCCTTGTGCTTAATTTATAATACGACTCCGGCGTGAGATTCTGCCACAGGACTCCGCCGTAGCTGCACAGCTGTCCGGCTGTTGACCATTCGCTGCGCGCTCTTAAATTAACTCGCATTAAAATACGCACAGTTTTAAAGGAAATGCTTAAAATCAAATGAGACTGATGTCTCAAGAGTTGTGCCGATCTGGTGAGGAAAACTGGTAGGAAGGAAATGAGTTGAGTTACAGGAGAAGCACTATCCAGCTGATATCTAAGAGTTACAAATATGTGGGAGTAGCAGGAGCTGGCGGCCCTTGGTCAGGGTAAATCGAACTCGAAGTCGAAGCCGAAGTCGAGGTCAAAGTTGTCTTCAAGTTGTCTGGCGCAAAACTTTCAATTGCTGCTGGGTCTTATCTTTATTATCGTCGCTTTTATTACGCTGGCCATGCCCAAGGAGGGGCGTGTAGGAGTGGTGTGTATTACTCATAAAGTATGTCATGTGTCATAAATGACAGATTCTTAGGCATGCTTCATTGATCCCTTTTTGGCCGCAACGCTTTTTACGATGCCACCACAGAAGCGAGCGAGCGAGAGGGCGATGCTGTGTGCGAGAGAGATAGTTGCTAGCTAAATTGTTGCAGTATCTGTCGCACACACAAACACACACACACACACACACACGCGCGTGTTTGAAGTTTGCTTTTGATAAATGAATGGATTTTCAAAGGAGACGTTAATGAAATACGCACACAACACGAAACACACAGCTCAGACAGAGGATGTTGCCTAGCTCAGCATGTGTTCCGTGTGTGTGTGTGTGTGTGTGTGTGCTTCTATATATCCTTCAATCTATCAAACTCACGTGTCCGTCGTGTCTCAATTTACTCGCTTAGTTTATGTTCAACTCGAGGAAGGCTTCTTCTGCCTGCTTGCTTCTCTGCGTTGCCAAGTATTTTGATAGAGTCCGTTTGGCATATTTATGAAGTCAACGCAGCGGGCATTGAAAGGACACAAGCAACAATAAGCAGAAGTAAGAGAAGGACAGCAGTAGAGCGAGAGTGAGCGAGAGCTAGCGGGGTGGCCATCGAACGTATGAACCCAGTTGGCCCTTTAGCTAATGCTCTTGATTTTTGCATAACAAAAATTCCAGCATTAGAAATTTCTAACTGTAAAGAGAGATTAAGACGTGCATATGCATGTGCAGCTGTAATGAACCAGTTCAATTAGCATTAACATCGAAAGGCTGCTTTAAATTTCAGTTTGCTAATGATAAATCATTAATATGCATTAGAAAATATGTTATCGATAGAAACTATCGGAAAATCATAAATCGTTGCCCACTAATGTGGCTGTTATCGGTATCGATTATCGATAGATTGTCAACTGTTAGCCACACATATGAGCGTTAACTATCGTTTGCCACAACAACGCACAACTATCGATAAGCTCCAAATGGATTGCCATAAATGTATCCGATATCGTTGTCGACTATCGATAGATCAATAATAGCAATGGTCATCGATAACAATAAGCAATGCATCTTAAGCTATTTACACGTATCAGTGTCTAATATCTA